GACCTGACTGAAAAATGTTGGATTTTATACCTGGATTATTGAGCATGGACTTTGTTGTCATCAAGAACAGTTCCCAGATATTTATATTGATGCACCACCTCAACAGCCTCACCGTTAATGATCACAGGACTGAACTGAAGTTGCCGAGTCTGTAGCCTCGTATGTTTTGGAACATTTTGAAGACTCTCTTGCAAGTGGTTTGCTAGCCAGTTGCCTAGAGTCTCAGTCCAGTGAGATATTAACACAACATAAACCAAAATGTGAAAACAAATGCATTTGTAATGTTTGAACTTCGACTGGTTATCAATTTGAGTTCATGTTGTCTTCAGTTTGACAGGGTCAGAAAGTTTCTCCTGCCGTGTGGGTCAAATCTGTGCATAAACTATCTGAATGATAATCACAGCAGGAGACAACAGTTTAAGAAGCTGCTGAAATAAGCACAATTGTGTGGTCATTACATGGTCAAAATTTAATTTAGTTTACAGCATGTTGCATGTTTACAGCTCTCGAACGCATCCGTACATAAACGTGTAACCTTGTAAAGCACACAATCAAAGTTGGAAGAGTTTGTTCCCCAACACAAGCTCAGCTGAACAAGAAACATACATTTAGCATTTGAAGGGTTCTCCGTGCAAAACAGAGAAAGATAACTGGTTGATTTGTTCTCTGCTCTAGTCTGTAGCCTTCAAACTCAGACCACATACACTTTTTTGTTTGTTTGCTTTGCTTTTCATTTTTCACCTTCTGTTAGTTTACAATTTATCTTTGAATACCACAGATAGCTATAACATATAGAAGCATCTTGCACTTTTCCTCAAAGCTCTCAACACAGGAACCGAACAAAGCACATCTGGTCAGCGTTTCCTGTGGTTAGCAGTGGTTAGGCCACCCTTCAAACTGGACGGCGACCTCACATCACTCTCTACAACCTATATAACCCATTAAACTGGACCTCAGGTAATTAATGTTCTGTTCCTGGGACACTCCTGTGCTCTCATATTGAACTTTCTTATTTTACAAAAATGAAGCTTTAGCTCCATTAATCAGTCTGCTTATTTTAAATTTGTGTTTTTTGCTGCTTTTGTCTTTGTAGGCCTGCCGTCTCACCACCCCGACCGGTAAGACAGACAGGTGTCCATCCTGGTTCTGGTTCTGGTTCTGTTGGATGTCTCTCTCTATAGAACAGAAGTTCTTCTCCCCTGCTGTCGTCATCCTGCACATAATCACAATTAAGGATTAAATTGAAGATACGTTTTGATTCAATCCACTGGTTTTCCATGCTGCGGCCCTTATTATCATCATGCACGATCTGCTAAGGCTGCTAACAGTACCATGGTGCCAACTGGACCATGGTGATAACCTCACTGTCATCAGAACCACTCTGCCAATAGGCCCCTACTGCAGTAGATTTATTTCTTTTTCACTTTTGGCACCTTGTTTCTGTGATTTTGTTGCATGTTTTGAATAAATCCTAGTTTATGTTAGTTTAGTTTATGTTAGTGCTCACATTAAACGTGTAAATTATAGCCGAACAGAACCTATGAGAACCGTGCTGTTGTAGTTCAGTGTATTGTTCTGCACTGTTAGTCACTGGCATACATATGAGATGTTTTAGCGTACAGTCTGGCATTCATTTAGTGTATATCTTAGTTCACATCTCAGATCCTTATTTACTGTTTCTTTATACACTTTATATTTTTGCTATTGTTGGATGTAACTGGGACCCTACACAGTTTCGTTCCACTACATGTACCACTTGTGGAGTGAATGACAATAAAGAATCTCTTAGCTTGACAACTGTTTTACAAACTGACATTTTCAGAAACACAGACTGGGCTGAACTGTAATGAACTGGTTTGGAACGATTCAGCTGAATTGGATTTCGTTAGATTTAAGTTTGACTCCAGCATGATGACCTGTGGTGACTTCTCATGCTGTATAAATCTCATTATGCTGAACAGAAAAAAACAAAACCTCCGGGTCTCTTTAACGTCTGGCTGCAGGTTCCTTTCAGAGCAGCTCTGTCTTTTAATTATTTCCTGTCAGGTTTAACCCCCCCCCCCCCCCTCCCCCCATGTATTTCAATATTTCAGACTCTTGAGAGCCACAAACAGCATTCTATGATTTTATCCGATCGTGTTAATAGCCCACGGGCCTGTCAAAACTGGAAAAGAAAATCTCGTTTTGAATCGACACGCTTGAGAAAACACGAACTTAAATTTAAAAAAAATCTGGGCTGTGTTTTAAGGAGTTATAACAGAAGGGGGTTGATGACTTGAACTGCACCTGGACCCAAGATGTGAGGCCTAAAACTTCATTTTAGCCTTTTTCTTTTTTTAAGAACTATTTATTGCACATTCTGCTGCTGTGAAAAGGAAGATGTTCATGTGAGCACTGGCTTCACAAATTGAGAACCTTTGCCCTGCTTATTGCTGGGATGCTTTGTGGGCGGCATGGAGGGGAGCATAATTAAAATAGTTTCTGAGAGAAACAGCACACCACATCTGAGGTTCCACCCTCTTCCAACATTTGACCACATCAAGAGGATCTCGCTTAGAAACGGCCACCAGAACAACCACTGATACACACGGCCCGGCTGATGTTTTGGTGTGTTGTCTGACTCGTGAAGGGGTTTCAGGAGGCACGATGCACATTTGTAATTAAAACGAGGCTGCATTTCTTTCTTTCTTTTTTTTTTTTTGATCATCGAGGTAAATTAAGTGACACGGGCAGCTCTCTGGGTGATGTATGGGAGGGGAAGACAAATTAACCATCTACTCTCTGGGGGATTCTCAGTGGAGGCCTTCATAACAGCAGTGGAGCAGCGCCAAAGGGCAGAGAGATTTGTAGATGATGGTGCTAATTACCAGAATGCAAACCATAATGTGACCAAGATGGAAGCAATTTAAGCAGTAGTCATTTAGCCTGCTGCTCTTCCGCCCACCGGCTGCTGCCGAGCCAGAGCCGGGGCATTAGGATGGGAAAAGTCTGGGACAACTTGTTGGTGAAGGCTAAAGAATAACGCTCAGGAGCGAGGCTCTACGAAGACAACCCCGTGACACGATATTAATTAGTCTTAAATCAAATGATACAAGTCAAAGGTGATGGGTCAGAAGGAGGCTGTAAAGACTTGAGAGATGTCCAACCTGCAGATCTTCTTCACTTCTAGATCTCTGCTGCCAGATGCTGTAGATAAATTAAATTATAATTGCGAGCTCAGCCTATAGAGTTTAATGTGCACGCTTGAGAAATGATGAGGATGTCTAAAAACTCCTAACTTGCAGTGTGTGTGGGAAAAAAGTGGGAAGGCCCAGTGTAGGTGTAAGAATTCAAGTGTCTGCAGCTTGTTTCTTCTTCTTTCTTTAAAGATGAAGCAGCAGACTTGCTCCTCACCTGCTGCGGTGGCTCAGCCTGTATAATTTGGGATGTCTAATTGCTCTTTTAGGATATTTCAGCAGAGGAGTTTGGAGGGGAGAGCTGCTCAGCGCTGCGCTACCATGTAATTTTATCCACGCCGCTGTCTCTCACCTCACACAGGGCTCATACCTTCTGCCTCCCCTCTCCTTTGTATCAATTGGTCGAAGTTCAGCCTATTGTCGCCACGAGCTTCTTTTATATCTGCGCTCGGTCAGAGGCGAGGCTCTCAGTCAGCTCCACGGGAGGGCTTTCCGCCGGGGCGAGGAGGATCCCAGTTTAGGAGGAGCGGAGGGTGGGGGGGCCCGGCTGGGCTGTGCTGTCAGAGTTGCCTCTCGGTCTCGGATGCGTGCAGCTGGAGGGGGACCGGAGCTCTCCAGCGTTATAGGGGCCCCCGGACACCTTTGGATGGGACTGGACGGGAGTCGTCGGTTTTTTCGCCACACGCGCCCCTCTCCGACCATGCCACGATGCTGATGATTCCTCTGCTGCTGCTGCTCAGCCTGCTGGATCCCGTGCGCCCCCGGGCCCGCTGCGCGCCGGGCCAGAGCCAAGCCTGTGACCCCCGGCAGCGGAGGGACGCCGGGGGCCGCGGCGGCGTGTACGAGCACCTCGGAGGAGCGCCGAGGCGCAGGAAGCTCTACTGCGCCACCAAATACCATCTGCAGATCCACGCCAATGGGAAAATAGACGGTTCACTGGAGGAGAACAACCCGCTCAGTGAGTACTTTATACTTTTTACTCTCTATAAATAACAACAATTACAATAAATAAACACCAGAGACGGTTAATGTGTTTTCACGGCGCCGGGTTTTGGTTCTTATGTGCGCGCTCTTTATTATCACAGCTGATGTGATTAATTTAAGGGGAAGTTTCGGGGGCCACTTGGAGGGGGGGTCCTGTTCCCGTGTGTGAAATCATGTCAGCGCAAAAGCTGCAGGTTAATCTCCAGAACCCCACACACACACACACACACACAAAACAAGAAGCATTAACATCCAGGCGCGACAAAAGGCGCTGTCTTTGGCGGATGTGTTTATCTAATCAGAGGCTGTTAGGAGCCTCTTCACCGCTCAATGAGCCAATCAATGCGCTGATTAAAGGGCCCAATAAACACTGAACGGGCCCCCGCTAAGCACCCAGGGAACCCTTTAATTCACTTTACGACTTAAACATATTTACTTATTGCACAGATTTTTTGTGTGTGTTATCAGCAGATGTGTTTAATTTTGTCTGCCGTGCTTTTGAGGTAAATTTCTCTTTGAAACTGTTGAATAAACACAGTGAGATGTGTTGAGAATAAATTAGAGCACATTTAAAATAATCTTATAATAGGCTGCTGATGTTTTATTTACCTGTTTCTCTGTTGCAGGCATCATGGAAATCACGGCAGTGGACGTGGGTGTCGTGGCCATTAAAGGACTTTTCTCAGGCAGATATCTGGCCATGAACGATAAAGGAAGGCTGTACGCCTCGGTCAGTGTGACATCATTTACCTGCCAGCTCTGCAACGTGTCAAAGAATAGAAAAATATGACTCAGATTTTATAGATATCATCATTCATTCAACCTTTATTTATACAGGTTAATCCCATTGAGCCTCAGGGACTCATTTATAAGACAGTCAATGTCAGATATGCACAACTGAGTTAAAAAAATTCAGATCATACACCTCACCTTCAGTGCTCCTTATCTCAGCATCCATTCAAAAAGTCTTTAACCAGTTAAAGATGAGTTTTTATCAATGTTCACATTAAGTTGACAAACGTGGTTTACTTTTTCTCTTCTTGTTTCAGGAAGCGTTCAATAAAGAGTGTGAGTTTGTGGAGCGCATCCACGAGTTGGGGTACAACACCTATGCATCCCGCCACCACTCCACAGAGCAGCCGCTGCCCCCGGGAGGAGGCGGAGGAGGTGGCAGCAACAAGCGCCGGGCCAGCATCAAGAAGCAGTGGTATGTTTCCATCAATGGCAAAGGGAGGCCGCGGCGAGGCTTCAAAACCCGAAGCACGGACAAAGCCTCGCTCTTTTTACCTCGGGTGCTGGGCAACAAGGACCACGAGATGGTGCGAAGGCTGAGGGACAGTCAAGGTGCGCACCGCCACACGCATAACCAAGGTGAGCGGCGGAGACGTCGGCACCATGCCCGGAAAGGCCGGGGCTGACAGTCGGAGGGCTCTCAGAGACGATCTGACCTCCAGTGTCTCGCCTTCAAATGGATCGTTGACCTCAGCAAGCTGCAGCTTGACTGCGATGGAGATGGAGGATTTGGGGGAAACGGCTCCTGCACTCTGGATTAGTGGAAGTTTTTGTTCATGCACAGAGAAAGAGACAACGCTGCCTAAAGAAAATCCAAACTCCAAGGCCTCCCAAAACATTTGGGGCTGCAAAGGCCTTCATGAAGTCCTCCACTTTCAGGAGGCTTTGACTCTCCACTGCTGTTTAGTCCTCTACGAACTGATGTCCGAGTTCTTCCGAATGCTTCTGTCTTGTAAACAAATGTATTACGATAACTGAGAGTATCCATCACGTGTTGTAAAAACAAATCTTTTAACATCTACTCCAAGTGAACGGCTTCGGAACGAGCTTCTGCTTTCCCCGAACGTATCGGCCTGAACGCCCGTCCCACGCAACTAATACTCAGTCATGCTGAAGTGCTGTCGAAGAACACGATGGATAACGAAGAGAGAACTTTACTCGGAGAAGCACTTTTTATTTTTTTACGTCAAGATTCATGTAAGGAAGCGTTCTAGAAACCAGAGAGAGGAGCTGCTGTCTGCTCCTGTCTCACAATGTGATAGTCTACTGTCTGTACACTCAGAGAGCGATACTGTGTTTATTTTACTAGTGATACGAATATTTATTTGGTGTGTGAGTTGTAACTTATTGATAAGTCTGTTTCTGCATTTTACCAATTGTTGTTTCATAGTTTCACTCACTGCCTGTGGTTCCAACATAAACACCATGGTATTTACCTTAAAAAAAACACGTCTGATTTATTCTTTTTGTTTCTAAAATCTTTTGTCCTCAGTCGAAGCAGTTTGTCACAGACAAGGTTTTCATCTAAATCAGTGTTTGAGCTGTATGTGTGGGAAACACTTTGGTTCATTCAGCTCTCAGATCGCTGCGTCACAAAAAAAAGGCACAATAGGATATTTGGTTTCTGATGGAAAGTGTAAAACCACAAACACGGTTTCTCTCAGCTTCTTCCATTTAGAGTCCCGGTCCCAAAACTACAGCACACGTCACAAAACTTCAATAAAACAACCACGTTTTTTTGTTTTACCCTCCCGACATCTCTCTCTCCTTGCTGCAGCTTATTTCCTGAAGTAGCCACCTGTTGTCGCAACATGGCCGAGCAGAAACCGCAGGGATGGCCATCAATGAGAAACTCACCACCAAGCAGCGGCGTGGCTCGTTTGGAAGTTCAGGTTTTGCCCTGCCTTGTTCCCATCTATAGGCAGTGGCGTATAAAGCCTTGTCATTCTATACCTGCAGGCAGGGGAGGCTTCCTGGTCCGGACAAAGGCTCTTCCCAGGGGGGGCCTGGGAAGCGATGCTGCCTGAGACTTTTAAAGCTTCTTTTTTGAAACGCCGACCAAAAGCTGCGGCCGATAAACAAGGCTGGCCCTCCTGAAAGCAGAAACTGTGTCATACAAAGTGTAACACCTTGCAGAGGCTTGTTATGAATGCCGGACTCTAATATTACTCACCAGGAATGCAGGACTTGAGAGAGGTTAGGGCCTTTTGTGGCCTCTGTCCGAAACTCGCCTGCTTTATTTAACAGCGTTTTATCTTCTGAATCTCCTCCTGCCTTTCTTTTTATCGCCTAAACTGCTGGAGCTGCACAGCTTTAACGGCTAAGTAGTCAATAAAATGACACTCGTCTGTAATATTGTGAATGTAGTCTCCTTGTGAAGCATTTTCACATAAATTGCATAATAGGTGAACAATTCTAAGCCCATTGTTGGGAGAAGAAAACATGAAGGCTCTCTTTCATCACAGTCTCAATGAGCGGGGAGTCATTGGGACGTGTTTTCACCCTTTGAGGTGGGCAGCATGTGTGCTTTCAGGCCATTTAGGTCAGATAAAATCCTTTTTGTCTGACTGAGCTGGCAGGTCATTCATGCTAAAGTTAACATTTAATTATAAATAATGTAAAAAAAAATGTTTGAATTTAAAATTAATTATATTCCTGGGCTTATTAAAGAATTAT